AAGTATCACCGTATCACAGGTCCTCGTGTATCTCGTACCTAGTGTTTCTTTTTAGGTTTGTTATTTTTCAAATTCTATATTTATTAAGTTTTGCAGCTTGTTTGCACAACAAGGCTGAATAATTATAAATGTTTCTGAATCTAAACAGTGGACTTTGGTAGAATTAAAAAATAAGTGTAGTGCAGGTCTATGATGATTTTTACTGCTACTATCATCTAGTTCTGATTCTGGTTCTGTCTTGATTAAGTTCTAAGTAGTCCTGATTTTGAACTGTTGTAGTCCTGTTTAGTTCTGGATCAGTTCTGGGTCTGGTTGAATTGGGGTTTGGTCCTCATGTCTTGATACGGCCCTGATTTTGTTCTGCCTTGCTGCTGAATTAAAAAAATAGTTTTTTAATTAAGCCCCCCCAATCCCACATGCATACTACCCTTTAGGGCTAGGCCCCGGGTGTATCAAATGTCTGCCTCCGCCTCTGGTCCTCACCCACAGAGGGGACGTGTGGATATCTGCTGAGGACATTGGTAGAAACCTCAGACTGAGAGCAGAAAGTCCTGCTTTGAAGTGAATTCATGGTTAATTAGTTTAAACAGATTTGGCTGTGAGCTGCACGCAGACACACAAACTGCTGTGAGATAATGTGAGCTTTAATTTAACCCAACAGGACTTAACTCTCTGCTAAAGAGCCACATTCAAGGACGGTTATCCCATCGCCATTGTGTGTTGTATTAGAACATGCCGCTAATTGTGTTTCTTAATGTGATCTAATCAATCTGAATAAGCGGCCTGTGTGAAGGACACGAGGATACGAGTGCATTCACAGCGAGGGACAAACATTTAGAAACATTTGTATTTAAATCTGCTCAGTGAGCGAGCTCACATTAACTCTGACTGTGTGTGATGGTTTCATCCTGCTCAGATAAGCTGACATGTTCCCCTCCCACAGGGTCAAAAATCCGTCACCGTCACAGCTGCAGCAACACTGGTGCAGTTTTACAGAGCTGTGAAGTCTGCAGCAGGAAATCAGAGTGAAGTCATCTTTTTTCCGTCTATCCATCTGTCCGTGTGTCTGTCAGCCCACCATCCATCCATTCATCCGTCCATCAGCCCATCTGTCTATCCATTCAACCATTCATCCATCCATCCATCCATCCATCCATCCATCTGTCTATCCATTCAACCATCCATCCATCTGTCTATCCATTCAACCATCCATC